TATTATTTATTCTGTATTTATTAGTTAATTTAATGTGCATGCAAGAAAATATATTTATTGTCAGTCAAATGAGAATGTATCCAGGAATACACTTTATATAAATCAATGCAAAAGAGCAATATATATAATATATATTGTTTTTTAAAAGTTTTTTAATTTATTAACGAAGTAAGTACATTTGCATTAAATTATTAAAATTAATAAATGTTGGAAATGCCTATTAATATGCTTGTCTAGTGAATTTTTGTATGCCTTAATTTGTACACTACGATATAATTTTCATTGTGATAAGCATACAATGACAAAATATTGTGTGATATGAATAAATAAGACTCTTATAATATTATCTTATATAAAATACTATTAGTTTACAATTTCGTTGTTACATTGAGGAACATATTTTGCAGATGTAATATAAGACCTCCAAGTAGAATGTCATTTCAATGGATAAACATTTCCACGAGATTATCCTCTTCGTCATCTTCGTCATCGTCATCGGATTCATCAGATTCATCTGATTCCGATTCTGATACTGAAAAGACAAAACCCGAGACAACGAATGTTCAAAGCGCAAGTCCTGCAAGTGCAACATCAGATAAAAAATATGATTTGGAAAGCTTCTTGAATAACATGATACAAGTAAATCATGATTTTTTTTTGTTTACTCCAAGTTTCATTAAATTCAGAATTAAAATAACATCCCATGTTTTAAAATAATTTTCTTTAAAGTATTGCATTTACAAACCACTGATTAAATTCAGTATTTAAATAATAGTTATGTTAGTAAAATGTTGATATATCTAAAAGTAATATAACAAGATATTTTTCGGAGAAAATGTAAGCTAATGTAATTTTAATGAAATATCTGTTATTGTTCTTAGGCAAAAAAGCTGCAGAAAACCGTTGATGTTGCCTTACAGCCTAAAAAGAAGTCAGAGGATAAATCGAATAATGACAAACATTTGCCTTTTGGTAACTTAGTGCAATGATCATTTCAGTTTTGTGAAAGTTCAAGCCTTTCTCAATATATTAAATTATATTATTTTTTTTGTAGAAAAGAAAATAGTAAAAGCAGCAAAAAATGTAGCCGAGACGCTTGGTGGGGATAAAACAAAAACTACGTCAGACTTGCTTGAGAAAGTTCTTGCAACTAGAGTAGAAGCATTGAGAGCAGAACAGGCAAGAATGTATGTAGATTGTCATGTATATTACTAAATACGACAAATTGTACATATATATAGTAATATATTTCTGTGTTACTTGATGTTTTCTTGAAATATTTTTACAATATAATTTTATTCGTTTAACAGTAAAGGTCAGAAGAATGCTAAATTCAAACAATCGCCAGAAGACAACGTACAAGAAAATTCCCAAGACCAACATTTGGAAAAGAAATCTATAATACAAACCCTATTGGACGAATATAATAAACAACCAGTGAAAGTAGTTGAGAATAGTATATCGAGAAAATTACTAAATGACGTTAAAGCATCTAAACAGTTACAAGATACTGATAGAGGATCTCGTGTCAGGTATTACAAGAAATATAATGTTAATTATTATATAAGAGATTAAATTTTTAGACAATCCCATAATCAGATATAATATTATTATATTGTAATACGATATATTTAGATATTCATGTTTTCATGATGTACTAAACACCTAATTTTTAATTATTTATGTATAGTAGACTTAAAGATGTCAATCTTTGGAATGGGAATCCTAGTAAAATTTTTGAAAACATGAATGCCGCTGCGCCAAACATACCGGAATTGAAAACGTGGGCGGCATTAGAACAAAGAGAGTTAAAAGCACTGACGACTTATCCACCTGCCAATGTTTTTCAAGAACTGATTCTTTGGACGGAGCAAGGCAAATTATGGAAATTCCCTATTGACAATGAGCAAGGTTTCTATATAATGTGCTATATATAACGTTTTTCTTGTGAAAAAAACTTAGTTTAATAATTTCTATATATTTCAGGAATGGAAGAAGAGCAGAGTGTTCACTTCTCGGAACACGTCTTTATGGAACGTTATTTGAAGGGATGGTGTCCTAAATCGGGACCAATACGTCATTTTATGGAGTTGGTGTGCGTTGGACTGTCAAAGAATCCATACATGACTGTTCAAGAAAAAGTGCGACATATGATGTGGTACAAAGAATATTTTGAATCTAAACAAGACCTCTTACAAGAAATAGGAGCAATTCAAGAACCATTTCCTGATAAAGTAAAAGAGATTACAGAATAAATTATACTAACGAACATAATTTTGATGTATTTTTTATTAGTAAATAAATTCTTAAACCCATGTGCAAGTATATTAAAAAATATATATATATACATATAATTTATAGTTAGCTTAAGTCAAGAGTAATTTATTAAATTTCTAAGTGTTATAATTATTTAGATGTGATACTAATATCTTTATTATGTACAGTACATACAATTTTATTATCCTTAGATACCAAAAAGTTGAGCTATACAGATTATGTTAGATAGGGATCTTTGTAATCTTCAATTAATAAGTTCTTATCCTTAGATAATTTAATTTGTACACCATCGGCTGCAGGAGCCATTGATAATATCACAATTCTATTTACAACTAGCAGCTCAGGATTATCCACGCTTTGATGTAAAACTATATCGATTTCATCTCCTACGTCCACCTGTCACCACAATTATTTCATGTGTAGTAAGTTACGTAAGATACAAAAATAACGATAATCTCTTATCAAGATTTTCAAGAGATTATCTCAGCTTTATTGCAAAAATAATAAATTTACCTCTTTAGATTTTTTGAACACTTTGTTTCCATTTATGCGAAACTTGCTCGCATAAAATGCCTCCTCGATTTTACTAAAAACAAGAATATGAAATAAATAAGACTTGACCATTATAAATTGAAATGCAACGTTGTGCGCAAGAGTATCAGCCAAGATAAAATTAGACATACCTGCGAGTCATTCCAAATCCAACTTTGCAAATAGTATCTACTCGTAAGGAAGCTACTTTTATTTTGGCCACTTTCGAACCTACAGGGGCTTCTTCCTCGTCGTCTTCCTCCCTCTCCTCGTCAGAATCTTCATCCCTGTCTTTTTTCTGCAATATATTTCCAAAAATAATACATTTATCTGTGCTCGAAAGCTTCTCGAAAGAATAAACAAGCACAAAGGCGAAGAAAGAAACTATAGATAAACTATATTAATCAAAGACAAGGAACTAAATGGAGTTAAGAAGTTAAATATATTATATTAATTACCTTATCAGCAGCTTTTTTCCTGCTGGACTTGAATCTCTTTGCTACATATAAGTTACAATGATTTTGTACACTGCGTGGCCTTGCATCCTTGCGTAACGAGAGATCCAATCGTAAAGGATCTCGTGAGTAACAAAGCGTGCGCGCATTGCTGTATACCGATCTCCTAATAATATTAACTGTCACTCTGGATAACATAGCGATTCACTTGATTATAATTCGGACTATCTGTTTATTGGTTAGATAACCTCTCTTAACGGTGCGATCGCGTATAATCGGTATAATTATATCGAGTTCTCTTTCATGTAGTATTTATTTAACGTGGAACACGAGCTTCTCAGCCATGAAAGGCTTAACAGCTCCCTTAATTATCTCGATTATTAATAATTAAATAAAGAGACGTATCAGGCTATCTTGCTAATAGCTGAACCAGACAGCTTTAACGTAGCCACGTTTATTTTCCGACACCGCCGATAAAACATCATTGCGCGTCCGCGCCACATTTGCAAATGTAGTGGTGTTAATTGTTATATGTATAGAGATTAAATAATAAAAAAATTGTTAGGTTTTTATAGTTAACATCTATATTTAAAAAAAGAATATAACAAACATATATGCATTTGACAAGCGTAGTGTCCGCGTAGATTCGACTTCGACATTCGCACACATTGACGATTTATAAATTAAAAAGTATATATTTCGCAAGTATATATTTTTCATGTCATTTATTGCTAGAATAAGAAAAATGCATGAACGCGAATATAGGAACGGGACGCGCAGTGATGCCGCTCTTGTCGAACGTGAAGTTGGCCGAGCGGGAGACGATTCGAAGTGCCTCCGCCATATTGATGACGTTCTCCTGCGTAGTGCGTTCATTTCCGGAACACGGCGGGCACGGTACGGATCGGCTCCGGCTCCGGGACGAGTCGGTGTCGGCGTCACGAGTCATTTAATTATTGTAAGAGTAACTTTCATTAATCTTGCATGCGTGGTTTACTGCGGTATTAATCGCGTACTATCGATTCAACGCTCGGGTACTAGTGATTGGTAAAAATACATATTTCGCGATACTTGTTCGGTCGAAGGCGCGTCGCGCGGACAAGTGACGATTGCATTTTCCAATGTCGCGAATAGGTATGCGCGGATATCTGTTAAAAATATTAGTACATCTATTCGCTAGAATGCAAAAAAAACGATCGTGATCATAAGCGAGCGTATAGTATTCGGTTTTCGAAATTCGGAAAATTCGTGATCGCGAAGTTGTGAGAGCGGGGCGAGTAGCGACGCGAGCGACGCCGTGGCACCCTTGGCTCGGTTTGGCGCGAGAAGTTTCACGCACGGGGGATGACGCGTCTCCGCCATATTGATGACGTCATTGACGTCAGACGTTCTCCTTTATTTCCAGATCGCAACGGACGCGGGAAGGACCGACTCCGGAACGAGTGCAGGCGTCGCGGGAGTTGTTTAATTGGGTAAGAGTAAGCATTATTAATCTTGCATGAATCATTTAACGCAGCACCTATCGCGTAGTATCGATTCAGCGCTCGGATGTAACGTGTAACGATATTTCTCAAAAATAAGTATTTCGCGGTACTTGTTCGGTCGCAGGCGCGTCTCACGGACAATCGCGAATGATCGTATTTTCCATCTGTCGCGAATATCGCGAATATTTACCAAGAGCAGAGACGATCGAAGCGCCTCCGCTATGTTGCTCATGTTAATTACGCACGCTACTTTTTCATTTTCAGATCGCGACAGGGCACGAGCCGCACGAGACAAGGATCGGCTGCGGAACGAGTGGCGTCGCGAGAGTTGTTTAATTGGTAAGTGTAACCTTTATTAATCTATGCACGCATTATTTACTGCAGTATTTATCGAGTAGTATCGATTCAGTGCTCGGCCGCGGGTGTAGATATATTTCTAAAAAATACGTATTTCGCGATACTTGTTCGGCTGAAGGCGCGTCACGCGGATAATCGCGAAAATGACATCGCGACGTTTTCGGTGCGAAAAGTTGAGCGCGCGGGAGACGAAGTGCCTTTGCCATATGTTAATTACGCTCCCCTTTCATTTCTAGATCGCGACGGGCGCTAGACGGATCGGCTGTGGAACGAGTGGCGTCGCGACTTATTTAATTGGTAAGTAGTTATGCTTAGAATATTGCACATAAATATTGCACTAAGAAAAATATTTAGATCCAAAAAAATATTTATCTAGATTGCTATTTATTTAGATTAAATTAATTTATATGATCTCACATCACATTACTTTGTTTTATTTGTTATAAACCAATTTTTCAATTATTAGATGGATAAGCTATAAAGCATTATGTATAAATTGGCGCTTTATAAACATTAATATAATATCATGATATATATGTAGTAAATACAATATACTGCGTTATTGAAATACATATTTCTTGTTTTTATAAGATAATACTTTTATTTTATATACACATATTCGAAAAAATATTTACAGATATACATGTAGCTTGATTGCACTAATTTATAAAATATTTAATCTCGGACGAATATTTGGGGAAAAAATTAAAGCAAACACATGCCTCTCTAATGCATTTAATAACTTATTATTCCCTACCTAAAGATACTTCTTTATTTCTATTTTGTATATATAAATATCCTGTATTAATTTTTTGGGGGAAAAAGAAATTTGTAAAAAAGCTTTATATTTTTAAAATGCTAATATTTTGTTCTTAATACGATTTTAATTTTTCTTATACCTTCTTCATCATTTCAGCAATGTAACCAATAAGAATTAACTGTTTGTATTAATCTGAATAACGAATAAAATGTTCAATGCGCGTGATAATTATTTAATCGATTCGATAATTTTTATGTTACAGAAAATATCAACGCGGGAAGAAGCATCAGCTTCGCATCGAGGGAACACGAGTGTCGCATCGAGGGAGCTGATAATCCGAGAGGATACCCTGAGAGGAGGAGCAGGCCTGGGAGAGGCATCGAGCACCAGCGGAACAACTTTTCGGTAAATATTATTTATTTGTGTAAAAGCAACTTTTTTTCTGTTTATTCTTGAATCGCTTTATTTCACAATAATTTAGAAATAATAATTAGAAAGAAAGTGGTAATTTGAAGTTTTATAAAAGCTCATTATTGTAAAGATCATTTTTGGAAAATAATTATTTAAATAAATATCTAATTGAATGATAAATAAAAGATTTGATGCCATAGAAATTTGTTTTAAAACATTAGGTTTTTTGAACATCATCTTAATGTGAATTTTATGTTTGTATATTACAGATTCAACTTAGCTACGTGGCAGATATTCCGCTGTTGCGCATCGGGGTTGGTGAGTAATGAATTAACATATGTTTTGAAGTAACGGATGTGTGGCAACTTATAAAATATATACCGCGAAAAATGTATACTATACATAAATGTATACCTTAAATGTATACTACATATCTAGATAAACGTATGCAATTTGATAATAACATAAGTTTATAGCATTCCATACATCTGTTGCCTTAAAATAAATAAGTTAAAACAGATTAAGATAAGTTTAATCTTGGGTGTCTTTTTATTATTATATTTATATATTGATTAATTTAGGGTATGTATACGAGAATGTAGATACTCGTATGCACACACTGTGTATAAAAACAGAATTTTTCGGAAAATTGAGAATACCATGAAGACAAAATATTATTTATTGATAATTATATTAATTGATGATGTTATTTGGTTAATATTTAGAATCAAATAACATAAATTTTAATTATATGTATATGTACATAACATAATTTTTTACAAATATAAAAAATAAAGAAAACAAAGTAGAAGACAAATAAAAGTTTAACAAT